CCCCAAAACCCCAAAACCCCAAAACCCCAAAACCCCAAAACCCCAGATGGAGATCCATAAATTGAATAATTAAAGCAGGTGAATAGAGATGAAGAATAGAAGTAAGCAAAAAGTTATTTGGAGAGGAGAATGAGAGATTTGAATGTTTTAAGAGAGATAAAGAAGGTTTATATGAGTAGAATGAGGTCAACGATAGTAATTTGAGATTCAGAAGAAGGATACATCACTGTCTAGTGGATTTTTATTAATAATAGATATGTGGAAATGCGATAATTAAGAAGAGTGTTTATTATCTGTTTTCTTACATTTGTCATCCTAAATTCAGCATTAGAACCAATTGAGGAATCAAATTTTGTAAATAATCCTTTACTAATCAAAATCAGAAAGAGTTAATTACAATCTGAAGTTTAGCATTTTTAGTCTTTTTTAATTTAGTTGATGACGCATTTGCCATAAATTCATTATTACTAAATCAATTAGATATATCGATATTTACGTCTGTCTGAAAAGCTAAGTTTATTCCCTCTTTCATAGCATCATTACTGCTCATTTTTAACATAAATGTAACAAAAGCGTCACCACCGTGATATATCTCTGATAAGAGGGGTAACTTCTCTAAAAGCAAAAAGTAGCGAATGAAGACGAGTTATAAACTTATACTTGCTATTTTAACAGAATTTACCTTGCATCCAATTCTCAAACTGCATCTTCGATACTGTGACGAAGAGGCATTAAGAAAATTCTAGAACTAACCTAAACCTAAAATCCGTGATTTTGTTATTTTGTCATAAAAATCTACAATCATTCTTTTAAGGTGAAAATAATCTGATTATACAAAAATGTTATCACGAGAAAGAGTGATCCTCTCAGCTTTATTATCAATGCTTGTATTTTTCTTCTCTCTATAAGTAGCTTAGCCTGGTTACCTCCCCGGGTTAAAATAAAGTTAATTTCTATGCACCTGCGATAATTTCTGGTTGAAAATTGGACAATAATTCTTCATTTCTGGTTACATCCAGAAATATATTTATAGCAAGAATTGGCCTGAAAATCTTTGGATTAATTCGGAAATGGATAAGTTTTATCTAATTCCCATAAAATCGTTATTAGCTGGGTTGATCCTGCAAGACAGAATCCTATTAAATTTTTTCAAATCTCTAGTCTCAGTTTCCTGAAATAGTTAAAGGAGAAATATGTGCTGAAAGCGGAACCCTTAAAAATAAGGATAATTCAGGCATAAATACTTGAGTTTCCAAACTAATGCATGAATTATAGAGCATAAACTAGTATCCCAAGAAAGCATCAGTACTAATTGCGATAGCTCCAGAGACAAGAACGGAGAAGACTCAAAACAGAATGGAAGCTCTGGTGAGGAGAGAACTAAAATCCCATACCTTGGAACTTATGATGAAGCCCCTGATTATATAAAGAAATGCAAGTACATCCTGACTGGGTACAGGATTAACTTCAATAGCTTTAAGGTAGCGTTGAGATCTTTGTTTATGATCCATAATGAAACTACAAATATCTGGAGCCACTTGTTTGGGGTCTTTTTGTACATATTCTTGGTTATTTATATCACATTCTGGACTGCGACTGATAATGTTGATGTAAAAAGAGATGACGACACTATTCTCGGACTTCCTGTTCTGTGGATTAATAATTTCAATAGCTTCATTGCTCGGTATATCCTTTGGGTGGAGGAAGATATAATAAATTCTGAACCAGCTACTAAGATTCCTTTGTACATCCATATGGGAGGAAATATTGTGTGAATGTCCTTAAGTTCCTTCTATCATCTCTTCTCTTGTCATAGCAATGAAGTTAACTGCATGTTGTATAAATATGACTACTCTGGAGTATCCTTGATGATATCTTGTTCTATTTATCCTCCTTATGTGTATGGATTTATGTGCCCACAACAAATCCATTTTGCCTACATTTACACAAGTATTATCAATATATCTTCCCTAATGTTACTTATTGTTTGAATTCACCCTAAATTTGATAATGAAGGTCTTAGATGGTTAAGAGCTCTTCTTTACTGTGTAGTAGGTTTGTCATGTGGATTACCAGGAGTCCATGCTGTCTTTTTCGGAGACAGAAAATACCTCTCATATGCCAACTACTTCTTGTGGGCTTTAGGAGGGTTCTTCTTTGTTTTTGGCGCATTTGTATATACAAAAAGATTCCCTGAGAAGAAGTATCCAGGCAAGTTTGATTATTTTGGACAATCTCACAACATTTGGCATTTCTTTGTTCTTCTTGGAGGAATCACACACTTCTTTGGATCTCTTTCAAACTATTATGGAAGAAGGGTTCATACCTGCCCTCCTGTTTAATTTCTCTTGAATTGCAAAATCTGAATTCAAAAAGAGTTTCAATAGAACTTGTCTTAATTGGGGTTTTGGGGTTTTGGGGTTTTGGGGG